GCTGTAGCTGCAGGTGACTCTGCACCTGACACTCGTGGCGTTTTATGAGATTCTGCATTTAAAACCGCGGAGACCTGGGGTTTGCATCTACCTGGGGCACCTCGAGTTATATAAGTAAATAAATATCGTTGCGCGTGAACGCCATGCAATAGTTATATCACGTCACTGCAGTGCCCACATCACCGAATCCTCCACCTATCCACCCCCTCCCCTCGCCGTAACATTACCGCATCATTATCAACATTACATCTTCTAAGACATCGCTCTTACATCATCACATCGCTCTTACATCATCACATCGCTCTTACGTCATCACTGCGTCTGTAACATCCTCGCCGCATCTCACGCGCTACCGCACGTCACAAATCATCAATGCACAGCTCATCATCATCCACATCATCACCGCACCTCCAAGATCACCAAGACTTCTTATCGGGGTTGCGATGCCGTTATCTGCGTGCCCGTGCCGAGGCGGCCGCACTCATGTTACTTGCCATGGACGAAGACAAAGACCCCCCCCCCGTATAGCCTTAACAGACTGTTGGGGCGAATGCTGTTTGCGAGCACCTATAAAGGCCGGCACGGCACACGAGGGGTGAGTGGCCAGGACCACATCCGGCCGCCTTTGTCTCCCCAGTGGCGATGTTTACATACCACATCAGGTACTCATTTGAGGCTGAGTCGACCTAGGGGAAGTCCAGGACCAGGTCAGATAATCGTCACTGGTGTTGTCCGTGAGCTGGAGTCGAACTCGGATGGCCGGGTTCGTAGCGCAGCGTGCTAACCGCTACACTACCGCTTTCCACTTGTCAGTACACACACACAGACACGAAGTCTCGTGTTCATACTGTGTGCATAACCCCTGCGTCACGGCTACGTGTACACACAGAAAGCCGCATGTACTCAAGCATTAACCCATGTATACACACACCCACTAACCCACGTGTACACACACCCACTAACCCACGTGTACACACACACACTAACCCACGTGTACACACACACTAACCCACGTGTACACACACAGACTAACCCACGTGTACACACATACACACTAACCCACGTGTATACACACACTAACTCATTTGTACACACACACACACTAACCCACGTGTGCGCGCGCAGACACTCGCAGCCAAATACCCATTAAAACAAGCGACCTCTTCGCGTTTCGCGAGCTGGAATTTTACGCGCACAGCGCGGAAGACGGAGAACTATCGGGGGAGCCTGTTGGCCGAGCGTAAAAGTGAGAGGTATGGGGAGCGCGAGAGGAGCCCGCTCGTCGCATCCTCCGCCTCGAGAGTCACGATCTCAGAACAAACACGAGCGCGCCGCGTTACCCCCCCCCCCAATCCTGTCTCCCGACCGTCGCGAAAATCTCGCAGCGCCGACTCGAGATCGTGTTTCACGTCCGACCGTCGGTGCCGATTGATCCTGGGACCCCCCCCGGGACAGGAGCCAAAATCAAACGCGAGCGGAGCGACACTCGGCGTGGCCGCGTGGCCGCCGGTGTTTAGCCACGGCGGCGAACCTCGCTCTGCGTTCGAGAGAGTGTGAGTGAGCGAGTTAAGTGAGTGAGAGGGAGCGAGTGTATGAGGGTGCGTGTGAGTGAGCGAGTTAATGAATGAGTGCATGGACGCGCGTGTGTCTGTGTGTCATTTTACACGAGTGGCTGTATCAGTGATTTAGATAAATACGGGAGTTAACAGTGTTTGCAAGATAGGGAATGTGTGCGCGCGAGAGAAAATGAGTGATCGCCCGAGCGAGCGAGTGTGCAAGTGAGTATGCGAGTGCGAGCAACAGTGAGTGAAGGTCCTCGTGGGTGAAGGTGCGAGTGGGTGAAGGTGCGAGTGGGTGAAGGTGCGAGTGGGTGAAGGTGCGAGTGTGTGAAGGTGCGAGTGTGTGAAGGTGCGAGTGTGTGAAGGTGCGAATGGGTGAAGGTGCGAGTGTGTGAAGGTGAAGGTGCGAATGGGTGAAGGTGCGAGTGGGTGAATGTGCGAGTGTGTGGAGGTGCGAGTGGGCGAAGGTGCGAGTGGGTAAAGGTGCGAGTGGGTAAAGGTGCGAGTGTGTGAAGGTGCGAGTGTGTGAAGGTGCGAGTGGGTGAAGGTGCGAGTGGGTGAAGGTGCGAGTGGGTAAAGGTGCGAGTGGGTAAAGGTGCGAGTGGGTGAAGGTGCGAGTGTGTGAAGGTGCGAGTGGGTGAAGGTGCGAGTGGGTGAAGGTGAAGGTGCGAGTGGGTGAAGATGCGAGTGGGTGAAGGTGCGAGTGGGTGAAGGTGCGAGTGTGTGAAGGTGAAGGTGCGAGTGGGTGAAGGTGCGAGTGTGTGAAGGTGAAGGTGCGAGTGGGTGAAGATGCGAGTGGGTGAAGGTGCGAGTGTGTGAAGGTGCGAGTGGGTGAAGGTGCGAGTGGGTGAAGGTGCGAGTGTGTGAAGGTGAAGATGCGAGTGGGTGAAGGTGCGTGTGGGTGAAGGTGCGAGTGTGTGAAGGTGAAGATGCGAGTGGGTGAAGGTGCGAGTGGGTGAAGGTGCGAGTGTGTGAAGGTGCGAGTGGGTGAAGGTGCGAGTGTGTGAAGGTGAAGATGCGAGTGGGTGAAGGTGCGAGTGGGTGAAGGTGCGAGTGTGTGAAGGTGCGAGTGGGTGAAGGTGCGAGTGGGTGAAGGTGCGAGTGGGTGAAGGTGCGAGTGGGTGAAGATGCGACTGAGTGCCCCTTGTGAATGAGCGAGGACGCGTGAATGAACTAAGAGAGCCGATCAACGCGCGAGCCGGCTAACGAGGTAGAGTGATTTAATTAGCATGAACGCGAATGAGGAAACGCGCGTTACAGTTTAACGAACGCGTGCTTTAGCGAGTGAATGAGCAAGCGAGCGAGCGAGTGAATCGATGTGCAGAGGGAGCGGATGAGCCAGTGAACGTGCGCTTGCATCTCTAGCAACACCCGCGGACAGTAAACCCGGTCCCGCACACCGCGGGGGCCCCGCAACACCGCGGTCGCCGGCGTTTTCAGATCCGCGGTGTTCGAGCCGCGCTCGGCGGGGTCGCGGATTCGCGCTCCGCCTCATTCAGCGCTGCCACTGCGGCAGCGCTCGCACGCGATCGGTTCCGCTCGGACCGGCCCGCAGCTCTCACCCCCCCTTCTGCTGCCTGTGCTGCTGCTGCTGCTGCTACCACAGGGTACCGCTATTGATGCGGAGATTAATGGGTGGTTTGATCACGATGAGCGCAGCGGCGGTAGCTCTGGGTTGGGACTGATCCCACATCGTTTCCCTGCATCCCACACAGCCCCGCCTCTGAGCAGGTGCACAGGTGCGCGTGAGCGGCGATGACGCGCGCATTTAGCTGCCAGCCCCGTGTGTGTGTGCGCGCGTGCGTGTGCGCGTCTTTTCGTGTCTCTGTCGGGAGCGGTGGTGTGGCGGTTAGCGCGCTGTGTAACCAACCTGGCTACCCGAGTTCGATTCCGGCTCACGGTCAACACCAGTGAAGATGATCTGAAACGGTCCGAAGACGACTCAGCATCGAATGAGTACATTGTGCGGTGTGTAAACATCGCCACTAGGGAGACAAAGGTGCCCGGGTGTGGTTCTGGGCACCCCCCCCCTCCCCCACCCCGTGTGCCGTGGCGGCCTTAATAAGTGCTCGCAAACAGCACTTGCTCCAAAAGTCTATTACGGCTATAAAGGGATCTTTGTTTTTCTTTCGATGCGTGCGCGTGTGTGCGAGACCATGAGACGCGTGTGTGGTTCGTACATTTTGCTCGCTCGCTTGCTCATTCACTCGCGTGTGTGTACATGCGGAGCCAATGTGCGCAATATTTCAAGCACACGGAATGTGTGCGCGCTTTGACACGAGTGTGTATATGCGGCGTGCATGCACCTTGTGATGAACGCGTGTGCACGTTGTGCGTGTCTGTGTGCGTACACGCGAATGTGTGGCGAGCGCTGACGATGCCCATGGTCATACACACACACATCAGCGAACACGGCAAAGCCTTCAACATCTTGTCAAGCAAGTCTCGCTCTTTCAGAAGCTCCGCTATTGAGACCGCACGCACGCACACATGTTGGAGGCGCCGCTTCGAATAACAAAATTAGAGCGACTGAAACCCTCTCTCGCGCGCTCTCTCCCTCCACGTCCAACTGCGGAGTCTGGGGTAGTGGTGGGGAACGCGGAGTCCTTCGGCAGCAGGGAGGGAGAGGCGAGCGGGACTTCGCAGTCGCCCGAGAGGAGACGCTGCCGGGGAAACAGCCGCCAATGCGATTACTGCGCCCGAAGCTGAGCCTCTCGCTCTCTCCCCGGCTCCCCCACCCCGTCTCCCTCCGTGCCGCGTCCGTCTTGCGTCGTATTGGCGTGGACTCGCGATGCGGTCACTGTGACTTGAGCAGGCAGGATAGATTACAACTCACGATGACAGCAGTAGCAGCAGCAGCCGCGTACTGAAGAGAGCTGTCCCTGCCGATCGCTCGCGTAATTAACGTTCCCTTCCCTGCGTTAGAGGAATTAAGAGAGAGAGAGAGAGCAGCAGCAGCAGCTGTAGCGGTTGTAGCTGGACGAGTGTTGCGGTGGAAACACGTCGGGGAAATCGATGCGCTTTTGCGCAGATTGGACTCGCAACGGCGAAGTGACAAAATGTAAACACATCGTGCGCGCATGTCCGCTCCGGTCTGCGTCTCCGCGTGTCCGTGCGTCTCTGCGTATCTGCGTCTCCCCGTTGTCTCCATGTGTCCGCGTCTCCCCGTGTCTGCGCGCAGTCTCTTCGCGTATCTCTCTGGGTCTTCGTGTAACTGTCTCCACGCGCGTCTCTGTTCCGCCGGGTGTCTCCGCGCGCGCGGGCGGGCGGGCGCACGGCTGCACGGGTCGCATTCAAAGCGACACTCGTTCCCATCCTTTTGCCGTGGAAATTATCCCCCCCCCCTCCCCGCTCTCTCTCCACCCCAGCTCGCCGGTCACCGGTCCCGAGACCGGCCCGGAGCGGTCGCACCCCAACACCTCACTCACTCGCACTCCTTACCTGGCAGGAGTCGCCTCTCTCCGCTGCGAAGCAGCTGAACACGAAAGTGGAGAAGTCGTCATCTTGTATAGGAGCACAGGTCGCCATCGCTCGCTCTCCGCGCAGACTGGCGGCCCGCGGGAACGCGCGCACTCTCACGCGCTTCGTCTGGGTGCCTCCGCCCCCCCCTCTCCCTCTCTCGACGCTCTCCCTCCACTGCTCCTCCTCTCCCCTCCCCGCCCCACGTGATCCCTCTACTGTACTGGTGGTGCACGCGCACGCAATAGGAGCGCGCGCGTATGTGCGCGCGCGCGCGTCCGGCACCGAGAGCGGGGAGAGAGGAGGTGGGAGATGTGAGGTGGGGGAGGCGGCGGCTGTGGGTTTGGTGCGTGGGATGAAGGTGGGAAGGGATCCGAAGAGAAGGAGGAGGAGCGGGGGAGGGAGAGGTGACGGTAGCAGCAGTACCGCAGAGAGAGAGAGAGGGAGAAGCGGAGGGAGGGGGTGATGGAGGGGAGGGGTGCAGGAGGACAGCACAAACTGGGGGGGGCAGCAGATGGGGGAGACACGGAGAGGAGCGAGCCCTGGTTTGTGTTGCCGTGTCGTTGTTGTTCAGTAAGGCGCGATGAGACGCGCCTGTCATCCGGCGCTTTTTGTGTCAGTGGGGGTTGGTGGATCACACGCAGATTTTTGTGAAACTCCCAAACCCGCCGGACTGCGAGGTCTCCACGCGCTGACAGTATAGTAAGTGGGTTCGCAAACCCAGTCGGTTCGCATCCCCTGAGCCCTTACCTGAGCCCTTACCTGAGCCCTTACCTGAGCCCTTACCTGAGCCCTTACCTGAGCCCTTACCCTGAGCCCTTACCCCCTCGCGCACGCCCTGAGGACGAACCCTTGCGTGCAACCCCAGTGTCCTCCACACACGAACGGACCGAACGTCTCCGTTGCAGGACTGTCGTGTATTACACAATTGACTACAACAACAACAACGTTGTTGGTGGTGGTGGTGGTGGTTTTGAGAGAGAGAGACGTCATCATTGCTTTGGGCATCATCAGCAGCAGCAGCACAGCGGTGGAGTTTGCTCAGGAGCGGTGTTGCTGATTTATGTCGTACTCCCCGCCCACGATCACTCCGCGTCTCCTCGTTTCAATGTTGTTATTGTGATCATTGTTGCTGTTTTCTGTTGTTGATTCTATTGTTGTTGGACGTTCGTAGTGCGTGCCTCCACATGAAATAAATGCAACGCTAGGTGTGTGTCCGTGTTTATTTAGGGGGAGCGGTCGTGTTGCGCTACGAACCCGGCGACCAGAGTACAAGTCCCGCTCACGGGCAACATCGGTGACGATTACAATATCGAAACCGGTCCTGGGCCTCCCCTAGGTCGACTCAACCTCAAATGAGTACTTGATGCGGTGTGTAAACCGATGACGGCCGTGCAAAAATCATAGGTGCTCGCTAACAGTCCTTGCCCCAACAGTCTGTTAACAGGTTATACGGGGGATCTTTGTCTTTACCTCAAAGTGCACCTAGCATGGCACAAGCGCTGTGGGGACGTCACCGCCACAGCGTGGTGATCGGCGTGTGTTTTTTTGTGTTTGCCTAAACATCAGCATCGGGAAGAAAAAAAGCGGCCGGGCGTGGTGCTGGCAACCCAGCCACCTCGTGTGCCGTGCCACCCTTTGATAGCTGCTCGCTACCAGCACTGTCCCTCGACGGTCTGTGAAAGTTCACGTGGGGGATCTTCGTCTTCGTGTGCTCCATCTGTTGGGAAGCGCTGGTGCAGTGTTTAGGGCACGGCTCTACGAACCCGGCGATGCGAGTCCGGTCGTCGATCACGTCAGCAGTGAATCATGCATGGACCGGTTGGTTCTAGGCATCCACGAGGTCGACCGAGCCTTAGTGGATGACCATAACAGCCGCAATAGCCTGTAAGGAGGGTTTGTGCGCGATCATTATACATCGTGCACGCGTCTCTGTGTGTGCTTGAGTGCGCGTGCCGTTATGCGTGAGTATATGTGAGCGCGTACTTTGTGTGTTGTATATGTCCCTTCGCGTGTGCGTGTGTCTCTCTGCGCGTGTCACTCTGCGTGTGTGCGCATTGCACGGTGACACGCGTGTACCTTTGTGCGCGCGTAGCGTTGTGTGCGCCAGCTCTGTGTCTCGCGTGTGTGTTTTTGGGCCCTTTGTGCGCGCGCCTTTGTGTACGTGCGTTTACGTAATCTTGAACGTGAGAGTTGTTATTATTACGGGAGTCGCGTACAACAGCAACGACGATGACAGTGGGCAGAGCGCGTGGGGGTCGGATGAGCCGGAGTTGTTGGAGCAGGGATGACACCTGGTGCATCCATCGTAGGGCAGCACCTGTCGTCACGTGGCGCCGCGCACCTAGCCTGGCACAGGCAGCTTGGTGAAGTCGCCTGATTGGCATGGACCGTGGTGCAAGGAATTAAATGCCGGCCCAGCCCTCTCTGTAGCCCGGAGTCTGGGGGTGCCTTCGACCCGTGGGCTGCCGGTGCAGTTGCGCCGCCTGCACACTCGATAGGTGTGTTTATGCAAATGCCGTATACGCAGAACTCCATTCTGCGGCTCCACGTATTAAAAAATAAACCCATCAGCCTATTGGATTTTCCAGACCAATATGTTAAATCGGAAGTTTTTAAAAGTAAAGAACTAATGCCAGGCCGGTTTCGACCTTCTGGGTCTCATCAGCAGGGTCAGGCTTGTTGGATTACGAGATGTATCCTTGTGAGAGCACTCCATATAAACTGGGGGTCCCCCGTTCACCGCAAATAACGACGCACTCCGCAAACTCATGATGACTTTGTGACTTGGTGGTGTACTGTATGTCTGCGCGCGCGTGTTTACTCAATTAGACGTTATGTTGTTGCTAATGAATGTGTTGGGCTTAGATTTGCCAAATACCTTTGCCAAACAAGGAATAATCTCCACTAAACGCACAAGCGAATGGGGGGGGGGGAGGCGGTTGAGGTAGTGCAGCACAGAGTAACAACTCATCAGCCATGGTCAATCCACTGCTGGATAAAAAAAAGTTCATTCTCAAGCCGCCGCAGCCACTTCTCACCATCATCCGATAAAGCATTTCACCTCGCGCCCGCGCGCGAACTGATTTCATCGTTCCATCTCCCCGTCAGTAATGATTGTCGGACGCGTTCCATTCCTTTGCTGGCTAGTTGGAGTTCAGCACCGCCCACGTGTTTGTTTCATTAAGGGTTCACATCCCTTTGTTTTCATCATCATCAGCAGCAGCAGCCGGGCTGTAGACCATCGAGTCACGTGGCGTGATGCCACTAATCTCGTAAACAGAATTTCCAAAAATTTTCTCTCGCCCCACACCGGTCCCTTACCCCCCCCCCCCACCCCCTTTACATCGGAGTGGGGGGGGGATCCCCACCCCTCCCCCCACCCCCTAAGCCCCCACGTCGCCGCGAGTGCCAATCAAGCGGCACGTGTGACAGTCATTACCTAATTGGCATTTAAATTGAGAAGCGGGGTAACACGTGGCCGTGGGGAGGCTACGGGGAGTAGTGGGGGGGGGGGGGCAGCCCCAGCCGCCGCTCAGAGCCGCGAACAAAAGCGGGGAGGGACGAGGGCAACGACAAACCCCGAGTCCGCGCCATCTGAATCGCAATAAGCAGATGCCGCATGAATACCGCCGCGCGATTAGTCAACGAATTCGTGTGCGCAGCGTTAACAAAAACAAAACAAAATGTGTGTGTCGGATCCGAGTGAAGTTTTAGGATGAGACGAGAGTCAAATCTCGCCAGCACTCCTCAGGCGAAATATTCAATCCGCGCGCCATACTCGCTCCTTCGATTTATCATCGATTAATCGTCGCACATTGTCGATCTCGTAATCGAATACGTCGTCGTCGCCATTATCGAATCATCCTGGCCTGTTGTCACCGTACATCTTCATCAGCCATGATCAATCCACTGCTGGATGCACACGAGCTTATTTGAGGATTCCGTCTCCGCGGCGGACGGAACATCATCGCGAACGTCACGATCATCGTTTACGTCGTCATCACCTTCATCATCATTGACTGCTCTCGCGGCACATTCCATTAGACTCATTAGGGCCATGAGGATAATGAGCGCATCGCTGATATGTGGAGGTGGGTTCTCCCATTATCATCATCGCCATCACCATCCATCATCGGGCATCGTCAGCCAATGCCTGCTACCCGCTGCTTAATTGTCTATTATCCTGATGGGGGGTGGGGGTTGGATAGAGTGGGGGTTGTATATCACAAGTGGCATCGTCGCTTCTCTCTCGCCGTGCGCGCTCGCACGGGTGAATTATTTAAACTTTAAAGCGGCGGTTCTTTCACGGTGAGTGGGAGATGCAGGCTGCGGCACGGATACCGTGCAGGAGGGAACATTTCAAATTGCGCGCGGAGAACGTTCGCACGTTGTGGCGACAAATGAAAATAAAAACACGCAACATGAAACCGATGCCTTCGAGCGCGTGGTCCCTCTGTGTCTTGTGGCCTGGGTAACCGAGGTTGGAGGTGGACCAGTGGTCTTGATTAGGTGACCACCAAATCGTCTTCATTCGCATATCAGGGGCTTTGATTGCCAGTCTTGGGAACATTCTTCACGCCGGGAGCTTCTCGCGAGGGTGCTTGGACGTACGGAGCGGTGGCGCTGTGGTTAGCACACTTCCCGTGTAACACTGCGACCAGCGTTCGATTCGCGGCCACGATTATCACTGTTGATTGGTCAGCGATGTCTGAACCGGTCCTGCGTCTCTCCTTAACTGAATACCTGGCGCGGTTTGTAACCATCAGCGCTGGGGAAACAAATGCGGCCGGGCATGGTGCAGACAACTCCGCGTGTTCATGTGAAATGACATGTCGGCCTCAATTGGAACTCGCAAACAGCACTTTCCCCCCGCGAGTCTGTGTGGGCGACACGGAGGGGTGACCCCTTGGCTCTGTAAGCGTGTGTGTATCTGGTGCATTGAGACGTGTGTCACGGCGACCTTGCTTCTATTCCTGGCCACGTGTTATGTCATTGGCGAGTGATATCCGAACCGGGCCCGGCCCTCGCCTATACGTTGACTCCGTCTAGGTGCGCTCGTGTATAAGCTTTATTTCTTGGGGAGAGACAAAGGTGGTCGCTTCGTGGTGCTGACCCACACCACTGTCTTGCTTGCTGTTCCCGGTAGAAATGGGTGCTCGCCAACAGCACTTCCTGCCAACACTCAACGTTGGCTACGCACGGGGATCTTTGTCGTTGGACTAAATATAGATTAAACTTTACACACACACACTTTAAATAATTCACGCGGCTTAGGGCGCGGGGATGGGCGCATGATAGGTCACTGCCCATGCAACTGTCGCCTTGGCTCGGCTTATCCGCTCAACCCATCTACGAAAGCCGTGCAACTCAAGTCCCAACACTTTCTGTAAATTATGAGAACCCCCGCCCCCA